CATCATGGATAAGGTCTTATGATGTGCATAAATGAATATAGTCAATGCCTTTGCTTGTTCAATGGTTTTGGTGAACCGGGGTAGTTTTGCAATGCCCTCCAAGATAAGATTGATGGTGTGTGCGGCACATGAAGTCCAAAAGATTGTTGGCCTCTTTGTGTGCAATAACTTCGCCGCTCCCATATTATTTGAAGCATTGTCCATCACAACTTGAACAACATTCTCGGGCCCAACTTGCTTAATGCATTGATCCACATACTCAAAAATCATTTCACTTGTGTGAGATATATCGGAAGATTCCTTGGAAGATAGAAACATTGTTCCAATTTTAGAATTCATACACAAATTCATGATGCTTCTTCTCTTTCTATCACTCCAAACATCCGTCATAATTGAGCAACCACTCTTCTTCCATTCATCTTCATGAGGCTTCACCTTGAGTTTGGTTCTTTCAACCGCTTTCTTCAACAATGGCTCTCTCATCTCATATGAACTAGGAGGCTTCCACCTCGGCCCAAATTGACCGAGCGCTTCGGTAAAGAGCCGAAAGCTATCAAGCTCAAATACATTGAAAGATATGCCCCCTTCATAAGCCCAATCGACTAAATAATCTTTCACCAAGTTGGATCGTTCTTTCCAAATAGCATCATTAATGTTTTGTTCCCGCATCGTCTTTTCCACGTTCAATGATGCTTCCGGGTTGATTGTTGTAGCAAATCTATCCATTGAGCCAAGAGAGTGAGATTCTTTTGCTTTTTCGCATTGTTGAGAGGACTCAATATCCAACCTTTTAATGTTAACCGAAGATAGCAACTCTTCTTGAATTTCGTTTGTCTTCATCTTCTTGGCTTTGGACTCATTGATGGCATTTCTACATTTAGCTTGATCTTCTTTTGTTGCTTTTCTACATGAAACAACATTCCCGGAAATTTGGCCAATATGCTCTTTCAATCTACGTATACCACCCGACATAACTTTACTACATAACAAGCATTTCACCTTATCTTTGTTATATGGATCGGCTAGAACACCATAGTTCCAACCTATGTCATCCGACTTTCTTTTAAATACTTGAGAATCATTCTCGGCCTCGGTGGAGGCCCGGGAATCACACGGAGTACTTATTGATGCCGAACTACTAGCCACTGAAAAAACCTAACAAAAAAAAATAATGAATAATATTAATACATCAACAACATTGTTGCAAAAAAACACAATATACATGAATGTATATTATTTATTTTTTTTCAATTTTTGAATGTTACATACTTGAGCTTTTACTAAGTTATCTCTTTGGAATTTCATCGAACATATTGTCTACATCCTTATGGTTTAACCATTACACACCACAATGGTATTATAGCTAACCAACCAACACCATATTTCATCAACTTCACATAAAAAGATTCCAATAAATTTAGAAATCCTAAAATTAACAACCTAATTACAATTTACAACCAAGTGAACCAAGTCAAATGTCCAAAAATTACATAGAGGAAGAAATTTTAAAATACCTGAGGGAGGCTCGAGATTCCACGTCGGTGAGTCAGGCGGCGACGAGTCACTCCGAACGGCGCGTCGCGGAGGGCCGCGTTCTGTGAGTCGGTGACTTCTCTGTCCAAGGCTCCGAGCGAGAAGAAGTGAAGAAGAGTTTTTTTTTTGCTGTGATGGTGAGAACTGAGAAGTCGTGTTTCACAGCCTACAGGTTTTAATATANGCCTAGGCCCGCCTAGCCCCGACTAGGCGCCGCCGAGCCCGCCCGACCGATTTTCATGGGCGATTTGGCCAAACCTTCGGCGGCGTACCGGCGCCCAGCGCCTAGGCGGCCGCCTAGCTCGACTTTTCGAACAATGACTGTGAGTAAGAAGCCGACCTGCCTATCGGAGGTTAACCCTTAAAAAATAGCAATAAACGCTTATTTCATCGTACATTTTTTCCTTGCTTCGTATTTACTTATTCTTAATCTAAATTTAACCGTTGACCAATTCCAATTGTCTATAAGTCATCTTTTCACATGGCCAGATACAAATTATCATTCATTTTACTCATTGGCCATCACTAATTAGTATTGCCCATTGCCGGTGGCAGAGCCGCACTGGTTGGCCCATGTACATATAGCCATTTATATCCTTTTATATGTACATTTTGTTGCACATGGCATTATCATCTGGCCATTACATATCATCGGCTATCATTAATAAATACGTTTATCATTTGGCCATCATCGGTCATCATCATTAATACACTTATCATCTAGCCATCACCGGTCATTATTATTTAATAAACTAATCATTTGACCATCACCGGTTATCATTATTCAATACACTGACCAGTTCACTTAATTTTTCAAATCTTCTTTTGTATTGTCTATTTCGGTGGATACACTGCTCGGCCATTTCACATGATTTTTTATATTTTAACAGTTGACCCGTCGGCTACCACTAAATATCACCTGCCGGCGGCAGAGGTGCTAGTCTGTATAGCCACACATATTTTTTTTTCTTATCACATGGGTCAATCCATAAATATTCATATGTCCATGTAAATAATTTCCACAATAACAAATTTTTAGCATTTCATAACCAATATATATAATTTAATAAACTATATCAATATTGGTCTTAAAATGAAGCTCTCATTTTACTAATTATTATGGCGTTTAAAAAGATTAAATTTCGTGTATATAAGCTAATTATATTTTATGACAATGAAACTTTTAATGACTAGTACTAATATTTCTTGAACTCTTAATCCATTTCTGTCCATTTCTTAGGCTTTGAAAAACGTGGCTGCCCATATACTCTCTCTTTCCATTTTCTTTTCATTTTCTCCTCTTTTTCTCCAACCTTGTACACAGCACACACCTTTTTTTTCCAAACGATAGAAAATGCTTATAACAACCGAAACAACAAAGTTTGTACAAACCACACTACCGGGAAATGGGAGCACCACACAGACGTGGGCTAGAACCAAATAAAGACAAAAAGACAAACACCCCAAACAACCAAAGGGATAAAGCAGTTACACACAACTGAACCTTTAACCCTTAACCAACACTAAGAACCAAACCACACAACAGAAACAAAAATAACACCAAGGGACCTAACACCGATTGCTCTGAAGATAATCCTCTCGTTCCTGGATTGCTGCTCTGATGACAATCTGTGCAGGCCTCTTGATCTGCTCAAACACCCATAAGTTGCGACTTCCAAAGCCACCACAGTATATAAGTTGAAAGTTGTATCTTTTCCTTGGAAATCTTGCTTATGTCCAATTGGCAAATCTGCCACCAGCAAAATTTAAAGATTTCTGCGCCCTGAGGTCCTACCTAGCTGATAGGAGCCATCTTCCAAACTGATTGAGCAAAGTTGCAATGAAACAGTACATGTTCGATAGACTCCTCCTCCTCTCCACAAAGTCTACAGATAACATCTACCCCAACACCTTTGGCTCTAAGATTTAGACTCACAGGCAATAACCCATTACAGCACCTCCATATAAAATGTTTAACCTTCCCCAAAACTTTAAGCTTTCAGCTCCATGATCTGACCTTAATGTCAGTTCTTAAATCCATGCTGCCCTGTGCTTTGTCCTGCTTAAGAAATTTGTCAGTGATAAGCTGAGCATATGTAGACTGCACAGTGAACAGACCCTTCTTATTCAATGAAATATCCAACTATCATCTTTATTTGGATCAATTGTATCAATACTTAAGATGGAGTTGCAAACATCAGGGCTAAAGGTTGATCTAACTTTGGTTTCATCCCACCTGCTGCCATCCCTTGTCATTAAATCCCTTACCCTTTCAATCCTTCTATCCATCTCAGGTAATAAATCCACTTCTCTGCCAATGAAGTTTGGAACCCAATGTTGATCCCATACCTTGGTGTTTTTCCTATCTTCACTTCAACTATCATCCAATTACCACATATCTTTAAAAAAGAGAGCCAGAATTCTGCTTTTTCTGAGCTTCAAATAAATTTGAGTTAGGAAAATATTTAGATTTAAGCACTTTACTTACCAACCTCTCAGATTCAGTAACCACTTTCCAAAGTTATTTAACAATGAGTACAGTATTAAACAGTTGAATATCTTCTTCAAATTTCTTTTCCCTTTTTCTTCTCCTTTTTTTCTACTGCTTATTCTATTTTAATTTATTCATTCTTGCAAGGAAAATATTTGTGTAGTTGGATTGCAATTTTGCTAATGCAAAATACTAATTACTTGGGCATACCTGATGTGTTGTTTTCCAACTTCTCCATTGCCATTGATTGAAATTTGTCTTACCAGTGTAAGATTACAATACTTTTTTTCAGAGTGTCGGTCAGGTTTTGGCGATTTCTGAAAAGAATAAAGTGAGCAACATGACAAAGATAAAAGTTCTTAGGATCATTAGAAAATAACGAGTTGTAATAATTCGATGATAAAGAAGATAGTCTATAAGACGCAATTCTGGAGCATACTCTCATCATATTATAAATCGAGCTCTAGAGTGTAGAGACTCGTGCTGATAACGTGTTATAAAACTATAAAGAAATAGAGAGAATAGAGAGAATGTATTCTTTTGGTATAATTTTCATTATAACTGAAGTTTTTATTTATAGGAAAACTTCTGATGGCACAATCGTAATAATACAATTACATCAGGGACATAATAATCATTCATATATATTATTTTATATAAAAAAATTATTGTAGGTATACCTACCTTTTTTTTTTCTAAAACGATAGATTATATTATAAATCAAAATGCACAAATGTGCGAATACAGCTGAATGGAACAACCAATAACTGAAAAACTGAAAAAGTGGAATGACAGGTCAGAAGACCGCCTGGAAGCCCCGTTAGCAAAGCTAGAAGAAAAACACTCGCAACTACACTAACCAACTACAACAATAACAATGAAAACTACTAAACAAAAGATTTCACCAGTATAATATCTGATCCCAACATGATAATAAATTTGACACTCGGACAAGGTATACCTATTTTTATTTTTAATAATTAAAAAAGAAGAGATAATTTAGCCACACACGGACATATGACTATCGTTATCCCTCTCAACTCAGCTGAGAAAATGGAAGCTCTGATGCAGCTAGCACCTGCGGCGCCTCTTTATTCGACCACTCGGAAAAGAAAGAAGCTTTTACCGCGAATTTCCTCAAGCACTTGGGACTCGTATCAACGTTTTCATCTCAAGGTACTCCTACCGACACATTCTGAATTACGTTTATTGATTTCCCTTAGTTGAACTGTTGGGTTTTTATTGCTTGAGCTTATCTTATTTGGATAGGAGGTTTATAGGTACTTGTGATTATGCGTAAAAAGCAAACTTTTGCAGGGCAAATATGAGAATTGTGTTGGGGGTTTGATTTCTTGAGCTTATCTTATTTAGATTGGAGGTTTATAGAATTATAGGTACTTGTGATTGTGCACAAAAAATAAAAATTAAAAAATTAAAAAAAAAACACTTTGTAGGGGAAATATGAGGATTGTGTTGATGGTCTTGATACTTGGGATTCTGAGTCACTAATAGGTGTACCCAGTGGAGACAGATTATTACCAATTCATGAGAAACATGTTTATGCAAAGCAGTCAAAAGGTCTCTTGCCCGAAAGTTCTACCTTATCAGCACTGTTGCTCTACTATGCACGCAACAATTTATTCTCCAAAGCACAGACGATTTGGGACGACCTGCTCAACAGCTCGTTCATGCCCGATCCCGAATTAGTCTCCGAATTAATCTTTATCTACGGTAGAATCGGAGATTTTGACAGGGTCGCCAAAATTCTGCACGAGATGCAAATAAAAGATTCTAAATTGTTGCCAGATATAATGAGTCTGTCCGTAACTAGTTTTGGCCAGAGAGGATACCTTGACTGCATGGAAATGATGATTCAAAAAATAGTTGCCATGGGTTATCCCGTGAGCTCTGTGGCTGGCAATGCTTACGTTGTTCACTACAGCACTTTTGGCTCATTGGCCGATATGGAATTAGCCGTTGGCCGTCTCAAGCGTTCGAGGATTCTCATCGAGGAAAATGCCATACGCGCAGTTTCTTTGGCGTATATAAAGAAAAATAAGTTTTATTCTTTGGGCCGTTTCGTGAATGATGTGGGACTCGGAAGGAAAAATGTAGGCAATCTTCTTTGGAACCTTCTGCTGCTGTCTTATGGCGCGAAATTCAAGATGAAGAGTTTGCAGAGAGAGTTTGTGCGGATGGTGGAGTCCGGGTTTTGTCCTGATTTGGACACGTTTAATATTAGAGCACTCGCTTTCTCGAGGATGTGTTTGATGTGGGATTTGCACTTGAGCCTTGAGCATATGAAGCATGATGGGATTTGTCCCGATCTCGTGACTTATGGCTGTGTTGTGGATGCGTACATGGAAAGGAGGCTCGGGAGGAATTTGAGATTCGCTTTGGGGAAAATGGGTTGGGATGGTCGAGTGTTGATGGGGACGGATTATCTCGTTTTCGAGGCTATGGGGAAAGGCGAGTTCCATTCGAGCTCGGAAGTTGTGATGGAGTACTGGGGAAGAAAAGATTGGACCTACAGAATGCTTGTCTCTGTCTACCTTAAGAAAAAATTCCGTAGGAATCAGATATTTTGGAATTACTGATGCCGAGTAAATTACAACTTTAGTTCTGTATGTTTCACTACCCTAACTTTTTCGTCCTCTTCGAATTGTGTTTTTTATTTTCGTCCCGTATGTTTGCAAAAAGGTTACAAAAAAGGTCATTTTCATACATAAGGGATGAAATTGAAACTTTTTTTTGCAAAACATAAAGGACTTTTTTGTTGTGAAAAGGAGGACGAAAAAGTTAGGGTAGTGAAACATACAGGACTAAAATTACAATTTACTCTACTGATGCATATTCTTAGTATTCTAAAAACTAAGCTTTCTGAGCAGAACTATTATCTGTATCCACACTTTCTAGTGCAAATATATTTCATGCCATTGATATGTCAAGTACTTTAAAGGGTAAGATCTGGTTGAGGTATAATTGCAATTATCTGTATCCACTCTTTCTGGTGCAAATATATTTCATGCCATTGATATGTCAAGTACTTTAAATGTAAGAGTTGGTTGAGGTATAAATTTTTGAATTAGCTGGCAGCACTCTTTGTACAGGCGATTGACAAACTGGATGTCTGCTATGATTCGAGCAGTTAAATTATTTCAAGCTACTAAAGTTGAAGTTTGTTATGGGTGATGTATGCCTTTAGAAAGTAAATACCAGCAGCACTGAGGTCACACAGAATAATCATGTAGTAGGATTATACAGCAACTCATATGCTGTCTGCTGCAGGATTTTCATCTACTGCATATCATTTTCTGGAAGGTTTAAATTTGATCCCTCAGGTATGTGCATGCTTTTTTTTTTTTTTTTTTTTTTTNGTATTTAAAGAGAGCAAAGCATTTTATATAACTTGAAATGTTCTGAATTTAATGGAACTAGGACAAATGTCATGTCACTTATGTAATTTATATGTTTTAATCATTGTTTAATATAATTTTAATATATGAAGAATGTATTAAACTCAGTGCCTTTTGGTTTCTAATCATAGTTACTTTTTTCCTTTACGAGCTAAAGTTGATGCGGACCTGAACATTGGTTATTTGTTTTGAAAGTATCATTATTAAAATAGTTAAAAGATTAACCATATTCATGACTAAATGCCGTGTTTAAACATTTAAATTTTACCATATATAATCATGTTAAACTACTAGTATTAAACTAAAAGATCTAAAGAAAGCAATTAGACCGTATTGTCAAAGACATTACTGGTCCATCAAAAAACAGTTATTCAGTGCCTGGTCAGGCTAGACCGATCTCTGGCTTTAATTGAACCAGGTGGAGCGTTTGTTATAATCACTTTTGATTTTAATGAATATATTGTTGCTATTCACAAAATATCCTCCGCCTAACACATTAGATTAGGTTTTAAAAATTTGGTGTCTTTTAATGAAGCCCTGATATCCAAGCAGTTGTGGAGAATCCTTACTCACCCTAACCTTCTTGTGACCAAAGTGTTGAGAGGCAGATATTTTCATGAGTCAAATCTGTTTGAGGTAAAAGAGAGAAGTACTGACTCTTGGCTTTGGAAGAGTTGGTTGAGTGTTAGAGATGCCTTTAGGAGGGGAGTGAGGGTTCAAATTGGTGATGGTTCCACTGTGTCAATCTGGAAGTCCCTTTGGGTTCCCTAAATCTCAGGCTTTACCCCCTTTGATAGGGACAGAACTAGGTTGACCAAAGTGAGTGAGTTGATGTTGGTGAATGGCAAGGGGTGGGATACAGAGCTAGTGAACCAAACTTTTGATCCTTTTACAGCATCTGAAATCCTAAAAATTCATCTTAGCGAATTCAGGAAAACAGATAGATTTGTGTGGGACTTTGATAAGAAGGAAGTTTTCTCAGTTAAGTTAAGTCTGCCTATGCAAATTATAGAACACAAGTTGCAGGAAACCATCTTCAGGCCTCTACCAGTACCAAAAGTTACTGGTACTGTGCAACCAAAGGTTAAAACCTTAATGTGGAGACTCTTAAAGGGCTTTCTCGGCATCAAGGACAATCTTAGGAGCAAAGATATCTCTGATGACCAAATCTGCTTGCTGTGTGGGGAGGTGCCTGAGACCATAAATCACTTATTCTGTCAATGCCCTAAGAGTGCATTATGCTGGAAATTGATTGGTGTGGAGTGGGAGGATTTCAGGGATGATAAGTTCATGTGCAATAAGTGGTGGGAGGGGGTGTGCAATGGTAAGAAGCTGTCAAAGATTAAGGAGAGATTGTCTCTCTCAGTTTGTCTGTTTTGGAGATTGTGGAAGGCTAGGAACAACCTAGTGTTCAGAGGAGAAGCATTTATGGAGCAGGCAGTTGTGACGGGGGCTAAAAGGGACTGGCTAGAGTCATCTGATATGCTTAGTAACTGTCAGGTTGTGAGGACTAAGCAGAGATCCTCTCTTGATATTGCAGCTGAAGAAGAAATTTTCACGAGGGTAGGACTTGTTGATATACAAGTCAGTGCCCTAACTTCCTCAGATGGCAAAACAGGAGCTGGACTTGTAGCAAAACTGCATAATGAGGTGATCATGGAAGATAAAGAAAGCTGGAGTTGGGCTAGCAACAACTGGGAGGCTAACTTGCTAGCTGTCAGATGGGCACTTGATACTGCAAAGAGAAATGGCTGGGATACAGTGAAGTGCTCTGTGGACTCAAAGAAACTTGTTGCTACCTTAAACACGGGCTCTCTTTCATCAGATGTGGATTTGGCTAGTGCTCTGCTGGTAGAAGACATTTTTACACTTATTCGGTGGTGTTCTTATTGTAAGTTTAATGTAACTGTTGATTATGATCTTTGTATTAATTTAGCCATGTTGGCTTTGAAAGGGGTACAATGTTTGTAATCCCCGAGTTTCTCCCTTATATGATGTATTTGGATAGGGAGTTGTGTTCAGTTGAACAGCCTATTGTACTTCTTTTGAGTTATAATATCTGTTTTTCGATGGAAAAAAAAAAAGAAAAAATAAAATAAACACATTAGAAACATAAGAAAAGAAAAATAGGCTGCATGACATTGGATGCACATCCTTTGTTAGTCTCCCAGTGAAGAAATAAATATGCTTTCTGACTATGCTTTATGTGCCAGATTAGGGTCGAAACTCAAAACTTGCGTGAAGTTTAAAAATAAAAAATGGACCCTTTTACATCTATAACAAGCATATAACTGTACTTGTGCATCATATTTCCCACCGCAAATATATCATGGTATATGCATGTGGATATCATATAATTACAATTATTCATTGTTTTAGCCGAAGAAACTAAGATATAGCTGGAATCTCGCATGGAATTAATGTTAGTTCTTACACTCGTTCAACCAAACAAGGCACAAACACTTTTTCATCAGAGATTATTCTTTCAAAAACAAAAAATAAAAAATAAAAAAATCACGAGGTTTTCGTCTCCACATTCCTTTCCCTTGCATAACTATCTATCGACTGGCCCTTTGCGCCATCGACATCAGAGTATAATTTCTTGTTCTCAGTGACCTGCACAAAATCCAACATACACTTGCTCACACAATAAAAATGAGGTAAACAATCCAATCACTATCACACGTCTCATGCATGCCAAATATTCAAGAACTCACGTTTCCATTAACTAACGACTTCCTCGGGAAGTCAGGCATACTCTCCTCGGCGAGCACCCGCAGCCTGTTGAGCTCCGGAAGCACCACTGTCCCGAGATCAGGCCTATCCTTTCGCCTGAGCTCCGTGCACTTGAGCGCCAGCCTGGCGAAAACCAGAGCCTCCTCAACTGGCCAGTCTTGCACCTGAGCATCCAACATCTGCTCAAACGTCCCTTTCTCGATGGACCTGTCGACGTGGTGGGTGAGGCCCATGGGTGACTTGGCGGTGACGATCTGTAGCAGCATCACCCCTAAGGAGTAGATGTCGGATTTAATCCCGAGCATGCCCGTCTGCTGGTACTCTGGGTCGATGTAACAGAAGGTGCCAGCTGTCGAGGTCATGCGGTACTGTGTGACAGTGTCGGCCACGGAGGGTGGGACAAGTCGAGCGAGGCCGACGTCACTGATCTTGCTGACGAGGTTTCGGTCGAGGAGGATGTTGGCGGGCTTGAGGTCGCGGTGGACGAGGGGCTCGGGTTTCGTCTGGTGGAGGAAGAGGAGTCCTGTTCCGATCTCGGCTGCGATTCGGAAACGGGCCTGCCAGGAAAGGGCAGGGGTGTTGCTGCGCCGGAAGAGGCGGTCCTCGAGGCTGCCGTTGGCCATGTACTCGTAGACAAGGCAACCGTACTCGGGGCACGCGCCTAGAAGGAGGACCATGTTCGGGTGTCGGATGCAGCTCAGGACCTCCACCTGCACAAGAGAGTAGTGGAAATGTGCAACTTATAGAATAGATGGTGTGCTTCTGTCTTTAACAACGTGTTTTTGGGTGGATGGTGTTATGATATAGGTGCGATTAAAGTAGTTTGCCTCGAGGTTTAGAAGAAGGGAAATCCGTTTGGTATTTTTCCCAAGGCTAATTTTCTTTTTTAGTACACTATGTTGGTCGCTTTTGGAGAAAGGTCTGGCGTCATCAAGAATGGTCCACTATGTTGCCACTTTAATCAGAACCCGTACAATAGCCAACATAGTGTACTAAAAATGGCAACTAAAAATGATCACTTCTAGTACACTATTGGTTGGTTATTGTACGAATTTTAATTAAAGTGGCAACTTAGGATCTTTTTCGGAAAATGACCAACATAGTGGACCATTTTTGAAATTTTGACTTTTCCCTGAGGTTTAGTTTACCAGACAGAATTTATATACTTTCTATACCTCTTGCTGAAATTGTGATCTCCCTTGGGCAGCATCCGGTCGAAGAACTTTTATTGCTACTTGTGTGTGATCCAATTGGCATTTGTAGACAGGCCCATATCCGCCTTCCCCAATTTTACGGTTCTCGGCAAAGTACTCTGTGGCAGTTTCGATCTCTTCTATGGAGTACTTGCGGTACCTGACGTCGTTTTGCGCCAGCCTGTCCAGCACCTTCTTTTTCTCCTCTGCTTCTTTAACAGCTTTCATCTCAGCACTGATTCTCTTCTGGGATTCGAGCTCAGCTAGCCTCTGAGCTTCTTCGGCTTTTTCGATTGCTACCCTGCATTTTTCCTTTTCTTTCTTGGCAATTGCTAATGCTGCCTCCTCCGCCATATGTGCCTCCTCGAGCCTCTGTTGCTCTTCTACTTTCCAGCGGTGTAGCTCGAGTGCCTACAAGGGAAACATAGAAAAGTATGTGCTTATGTTTGTGATAATAGAAAGTATGCTATATTAATATTTCAAGATTAAGAATAATACTTTCTGTTTTGCCGTGAGTGCTTCTTTGCAGGCTGTGCTGTACATGTCCATTGTTTGTTTGAGCTCTTGCTTCAGCCTTCTCATCTCTGCCTCCACGTCTTCCTGCAAATAAAGCAAAGTACATGAAACAATACGTGTAAAGGGAAATGCCATGTAAGTAACCATTTTTTGCTTGTTAAATAAGAAAAAAAAAAAAAATAAGATTAGTGTTTGTTTACCAGGCTCTGTGATCCAGACCATGAATAATTTCCACTTTCCTGTGAGCTGGACGAGTAGACTCCAAAGCTGTTGTTTGCATCTGATGACCTGGCATTCGAGAACGACGATCCGAAACTAGGCCTGTTATCCGTATCAGAACTGTTTGAAAGACGTGGGGCCATCATCGTATCCTGATCGAATAACAAGTTCATGCTCGGCCTCATTGGGCTCACAAATGATATGTCTGTGTCGGGCATCGGGAGTTCTCCATATAATCGGTTTGCAGCTTTTCCTCTTGTGAAAGGCGACCTGCGTATGTATTGTTGACAGATGTTAAAATAGTTCTGTTGTATACTTTTTTTTTTCAATCGCACAATCGAGCTTACTTGATTGTGTCCATTTCTTCCATTGGGATGATCTTGGCGGCAAACGGTTGCACAGCAGTACCTGCGGCCATAAGGATCATCTTTATAACAAAACTGTCACTTGAAGTAGCTAATGCGTAAAAGATTGCGTAAAACAAACCTCGCATTGGTTGCCCAAAACGTGCATCGACTGTAGGGGGATGATTGCTTGCATTATGCTGCACCCGAGAAGCTTCTTTAACGGATGCCACTTTACCTTTGGAAATGACGTAAACTGTGCAAAAGTCGGGCACCCCTTTGGTTACGCTACCTGGTATATCTGAGCTCTTGAATCTGCTATCACCAAAGATTCCTAAGGGTGTGTTTGTAAAAGAAAAATCTCAAACGAAATTAATTTATACTCAAAATTTAACTCAACTTTAACTCAATCCTACTATCATCAATATTATCAATATAATTAAATAAGAACAATCAATCATTAAATAATAACAACCAATCATTTTTACACATCATATAAGTTTTAATTCACTATTTATGCACTCACATAATTTTAACTAATCATCACTTCATATCATCTCTCTCCTACTTTTACATCAAACTAATTTTAATTATTTTATTTTAAATATCATTTTAATAAAAACTAAAAATTCCACTCACAACTAACTATACCACTTTTTCTAAATTAACCTTAGTTAACTAAAAAAATCTCACTTTCAGTTAATTAACTCAAATTATTTCCTTTACAAACACACCCTAAGTGCATCCATATTATATTATGTATGCTGGGAATTACAATGGCAACACAATGTGCCTAATAAACAGCATCTATCTAATACAACATAGGTGGAGCAAAATAAATATAACGTTGTTTATCACCTGATGAATCCATTCTTGACAGGGGAGCCCACGACCAAAGTCTCTATCAAGTTGCTCCTCACGTACTCACACAGGCCTCTTGCTACGTCTGCATCTTCAACTACGACTTCATTTACGTGTATCTAAATTTATGAAAGGAAAAAAAAAAAAAAAAAAAAAAAAAAAATACANAAAAAAAAAAAAAAAAAAAAATGCTATTAGTATAGGGTATGCTATTTCTGGAGAACTAAATGACACAAAAGCACACAACTTACGTCCTTGCGGGTGCAAAAGCAGCGGAAAGGAAGGAAGAGTTCCTTGGATTGGCTAACTGCACCAACATGATAACACACTAAAAAACGTGCAAAAGAAAAATGTAGGGAATATCCAAATAAAATTTTGTTGCCAAAATTCTTTTGCCAAATTCTTATACTCCCTAGTTCCTACTACCTCCTATTCTTTTTAAATGTCATTTTGGCTTTATCAACTATTAATCAAAATAAATATCATTTTGAATCTTTTGTACATATTTTTCCATTATTACTCTTATTTAGTTAATAAATACACTACGTCTTTTCATATTCTCTTCATTTTTTTTTTAAAACATCAATCTCTATCTTCATTAATAAGGGTTATTATTGACAAAAAAATTATTCTTAATTAGTGTGCAACTTCTCAAAACGACACTTATTATGAATAGGAGGGAGTACTTTTTTTTAAATGTCATTTTGATTTTGTCAACAATTTAGTAAATAAATGTCGTTTTGGATCTTTTATACATATTTTTCCATTATCACACTCATCTACCTAATAAATATACTGCGTCTTTTCATATTCACTCTTCATCTTTTCTCAAAACATCCATCTCTATCCTCATTAGTGAGGGTTATTATTGACAAAAAAATAATTTTTAATTACTGTGAAACTTCTCAAAATGACATTTATTAAAAATAGGAAGGAGTAGTAAATCATCTAATTTTTTGGGATGATGAAAACGACACGCCCTAAACAAAAGGAATCTGCATGGAGTAATAAATAGATGAGTTAAATTCGGGAAATGGAAATACATGGTGCAGGAGCAGAAGAAGTCTTGAGCTTGACATGGAGGAGGGTTACACTTTTGCCCTTGCCCAACAGATTATCAACGGCCCATTTCAATGCAGCTTGGCTCCCTTTGTCTTTGTCAATTGCTACAACAACCATTTCTACCTTGTTCTTCTTTTCACCTTTTTGCCCTATCATATTTCAATTGCCTGCACAAATTCTTTATTTATTTATTGAATGCGAAAAAAAAAAGGTGTAATTTTTCTTGTTTCTGATGCTTTACTGAATTTTGCCTGATCAGGACAATTTGCTTTTAAACCTNACCATGCATATGATGGAAGATTTTTAAATTTTGACTTTTGTCAAATCTGACACTGACTACGCATTTTATGGGGTGGTTCTTTATTTTCCTTCCTATTTTGTTTAATTTTTAAATAATATCAATTGTTGACCCGTGCAATTGTGGTTTACTTATTATTCATTACAGGACGACATTTACTTTAGCAAGTAGTCGTTGTATATATATTATATTACTACTACTGTATCCGTGCGATGCACGGGAGCATTTATTATATATTAATTTTTTGAAATGTATTTTCATATTTAAATTGTCTAATGCCATTAAAAATTTTATGAAAATGAAATTTGTATGTTATTAAACATTTCCTTATGTACAACATTATTGATTTGATTCTTTGGCACGTAAAGTACTACCTAAGTATTCGAATTTATCCAAAATTTTATATCATTAGTTATTAGTTAACAAATTTTTAAAAAATTAAAGGACCTTATTTATTAAACAAAATTAAAGTAGAAGAAAAAGTAAATTTTTTTAAGGATTTTCACCCATTATTTATTTTAAATCTAATTCTAAATTTCAATTGAGAAAAATTGAAAAGAATCATTAGTTACTCCTAAAAATGAAACGATTTTCCTACCAATAAACCGTTTTTTTTTTTATCAAACAAATTGATTCGAACTTTTTTTTAAACCAATAAAAAAATATCAATTTTTCCTAAAAATGCAACCGAATTTTCCGAACATTGCACTGATTTTTGTACCAAATAAATTGAATTGAAAATAATTTTAATAAGAAAATAAAATAAAATTTTAATGTTTATGCAATTGTTTTTTTCATAAAGAAAATGATATGAACTTAACAAGAAAAAAAATTGATATAAACTTACCAAAATCTCGGTAAAACATGGTTAAGAAAAAGTATAAGAATCCAAAAAAATCAATGCATTTAAGTTTTGAAAAGTTGCACACAATTTTTCCTAAATAATTGGATAAAGTGACTTTAAATATTAATGATGAACCGTTTTTGTTACCAAAAAATGTGGACACAATTTTGAATGTACATCCCGTCCAAATATCTGTTTTATTTTAAAGTAAAAATTGTATGGCTTTATCCAATTTACACAAATTTTTTGAAGAAAAAATTATTCAATAAGATTGGAAGATTTGGTTAACAATTATACAACTATTTGCTTCCTAAATTTGTATCCAATTTGCACGGTTCTTAAATTAATTTGTATTTAGAATTGTTTTCATAAATAATTTACACGTTTCGCATAAGAATCTCCAAATTTGCTATAAAAAAAGATATGATTAAAATTTTGGTGAAAAAAAATAAAATATGATACGAAAAAAATGGGATTCAAATTTTGCCATAAGAATCTCCAAATTTATTACCAAAAAAATAGGATTTAAATTTTGTTACTAAAGATTCACATGTGTTTTTTTAAATTTTCCATTAATAGTAAGTCAAACATTATATTTATTTGGTCAAATTTTCTATTAATGTATTTTTCCAACAACCTCTTTATATATATATAGATTATAAAAAGACGAGTGATTCTGTAATAAAATGAACTACTTAAAATCCTCTTAGTATGACATATTTTTAATAACAAATTAGTAATATGCTAATATTCATCTTATCTTATATTTTAATTAAAAAATGAACTACTTAAAAAACTCTTACTTTGACATATTTTTAATAATAAATTAGTAATACACTAATATTCATCCTATCTTGTATTTTTAATTAATAATTAATATTTAATTAATTAAATACAAATACACGAACAAAACATTTTACATCTCCTAAAATTCAACCACAATATTATCGCACCAATTATTCACGAATTTACTTTCTTCCACATATCTGTTAAACTGTTTTCTTTCACATCTTCCAAACTCAACTCAGCATCAACCCAAACAGCATAGCTTTGAAAAAATAGAGAATTGCTGTTTTTTTTTTCAAACGACAGACTTTAATTAAAGAAAAAATAAATACAAACTAGAAAGCATCTAAACATCCGAATAAATCAGCCACTCAGCTGAATCTAGTTGGGTGGACTAGCCTCATAGACAAATAGGCCGAGGCAACCTAGAACCAACTTAAACACAGAACGACACTAAAAAACAAAAACTCCCAATAGGATAAGAAAAAAACAACATCCAAAAAGAGAATCAAACACAGAAAAAAAAAATGAACACACATTTCTTGATTGTGTGTTGTCATGACTAGTCGATTTTTCTAGAACTTGCTTTAGTATGCATGTCTTTGTTTACTCCTTTGATGAATTTGGATGAACGATATCTTAATCAGGGTATTAGGATTAACACTTTGTTTTTAGCCTTTTTCTTGGAAGTCTACCCTTTACATAGATCCCTAGTGAGCCAAGTTTGAGCCTTAGCTTTTTTCTTTAGACTTAGCCACGTTACAAGCTACGATATCTTTTTTGTTGATACCCTCTTTTAAACCTTGAATTGAAGCACTTATATGAATTCTGTGTATTGATGATGAGCTGCGTAGAATTGGTTGTGGTTTGTTTGAGGTCTAGTTATCTAACATCTACTAGTTCTTGTCTTCTCTCCAAAGAAAAAAAAATAACTAAATAAAAAAAAAAACAGAAAAAAGGCAAAAGAAAAGAAAAAGAATCGAAAAACTCATAAAAAAAAGAGAAAAAAAAATGAGAGAATGACAATGAAGAGAATTGTGCTATTTTATTCTTACGTTAGATACATTTTGTAAAATTAGACAGTCAGAGTAGCTTCTTTTGGGATTGAGCTCCGTTTGTGAAGAGTTTGTATGATTGCTTTGATTCTCATAGCCTAATATGTCCTTTTATCCTACCTTACCTAAGCTCCATTACAACCCATTTAAACTCTTCAATTTTGTGTATTCATATTGATTCTTAGGTGGATGAGCGTGATATATTTGCAAGCTTATGGTAAAAGTCTTCATTGTCTTGACTTGATCGTACTCTTTATATTTAGCCTATACACATTCGAGTGATGAGTGCATCTCGTGAGAAGTTGTCGAATCTCATGTGTTTTAAGTTATTTGATTGTTGAGGTGATTATTCATTAATGTTGGTTAATAAGGATTCTTTCTTGAGCTATGTTTCTGATGTGGGAAAAATAGTTTTGGGTTGGTAACAAACGATAGAGATGATTATGAGATGAGACATGAATTTGACTTGATGCTTGACGACAAGCATCGTTTAAGTGTGGGGTGATTTAATAAGTCGTATTCTTGGCATGTTAATTGTCATGTTTTCCATACTTTTTCGGTGTTTGTTTGAGCTTAATTATTGATTTTAACTGATTTTTATGATTTTGTCGGATATATCCGAATTTGAAATTTTGTGATGATTGGATGGCGAAAGAGACGAATTTGAGCTAAGGCGTGGACACTCTAATTTCTTACGAGAGTTGGAAGAATGAAGGAATCTTGAGTTGAAAAGAGAAATAATAAAACTTTATGGAGTATTTATTTATTTATGGACTATTATATTTTATTAGGGTATTTTTGGCCAGAGAATGATCTCTTTATTTTCCACGTATTTTCTGCTAGGATTAAGACTAGACTGGTTTAATGAAAAACCAGACTGCTAGATTCTTCTTCTCTTCTCCTCTTTCTCACGCACACCCTCTCTTCTCTTCCTCTCTTTTCTTCTTTTATTTTATTTTTCATGAATAATTGGGAGAAGACTTCCATGTTTATGGAGAATTAATTTATTTTTCCAGCCAAAAGATTATTCTAGATTTGGTTCTTCATGATTTGTGAGATCTAATTGATTTTATATTCCCTAATTCTCTTTTATTTATATATCTCTTGTGATTATTATCAATTGTGTTTTGATTGATTAATGCAAACTGGCCATTTGTTTAATTGTTGAAACGCATATCGTTATTTAGAACGTTAAATCCGTAATTGTTTGACTGTTCTAATATTTGTGGCAAATAGCATAGTTGACTACTAAGGATTTTCAATTGTATGCTTAGGGAGATATATTATCTAGTCTAAATGATTCTATATGCGCGTTCGTTGGATAGAATTGGTGGTCCTTCTAGATTTTAATAATGTTATTGATAGATTAAATCTTATGATTGTATAACCAGTTTAATCGAGAGTAGGAAAATTATCTTTGCATCCGTGATAATTCCGTTGAACCCTCTCTACGAGTATTTTCCTTTTGTTGGATATTTTCTCTATTTTGAACCACTTGTTTTGTTTTTGTCTTTCTTTAGATCTTATTTTATTATATTTTTCTTAGTTAGATAAAATCACCAAAACCCCCCATCATTTTTATTTTTCTTTCTTTCATGAATAGTTGCATCAATACTCTATCTAACCAATCCCTGTGGATACGACCCTGCTTACCACTACTACAGTTATTTTAAAAGCAGAAATTTATTATTGTTGAATTCGACACCCACCAAGAGCGACATTTTTAGAGGTAATACGAAGTACGTATGGAGACGAGCACAGAGCAAAAGAAATGTAGAAGACAAATTAGAGGAGTCAATTACGCTTTTGTCAATTAGGGTTTTTCAACTGGACCTTTCTCAATTGGAGAAGAAATGAAGATTTTTTTGCTATTAATACTGATGAAATAGTTTGGCATCCTACTCAGCAAAGAGAAATGACGCGTGTGATCCCTTAGCCGAACACACAGACACCAAACTCACCGGCCAAAAAAATTGGGTTCAAGTTAAATTTTTTATAAATGTCGTGATATATTTGCAACTAACCTACAGTTTGGTTGAAATTGAAAAAAAGTTAACATGTCGTAATTTTATATGCAATTAGGCCTTTAAAAAAATGCTGAAAAGGCATTAATTACAACTGATTAACAAATAACGAATCCATGCTATTCTAGTCCACACTAGATCCTCATTCATTTGATATTTCACCATCTATTCAGTCTCCCATATAAAATTATAGGTGTGCATGATAGACATATTTGTACACAACTGGCACAGTGCCTGAGAACCAAACAAGAGACGATCCTGGATTACTCAAGTTTGGATTCTTCTACTAAATCAAGCACTATCACATAAAAAGTCTACAGACAGGGCACGAGCAATTGAAAAGCAGATATATTCCTCAGTCCGCATAATTGGCTGCTGGTAACAACAAATCATAGAAAGATTACAGACATTAGACAAATTCACAGTAAAAATTGGAACATTATCAAATTGACCAGGATTAATTGTGACTAAATCATTATAACGATTGTCAAATTAAGAATACTATCATCAAGGAATTAAGCAGGAGTCTTTGTCAAACTCGGTGTATCCAACATCAACAAGGCAAAGGCCATCGGGAGGTGCAGGTGGAGCAGTGGCACGCCGACATGTGGCGTCCATCAGCTTCAACAATGCATCATCTTCTGCACCAGCAGCCGCTTCTCTAATCGCTGTTGCTACAAGAACTCGGACCATCTGCAAAGCACATCCAAAAAGCCACATGAAATGATTTTATTCAGGAGAAGATGATTNCAAATAAAGCATCCAATCCCTCCATCACAGTAGTGTTGACCACGGTTCGCCGCAGACCGGTAGATTGCAAGGAATAAAGAAAAGGAAAAAAGGAATGAAGCAGAAAGAAGACGAAAGGATAGATGTGGGGGAAAAGGAAAAGATGGGAAGGAGAGGAAAAAAGGTCAAAAAATGTTTCGTGCATTGATCTGATTTGCTTCGATGGTATTTTTGGAATTTCAAAAAATTTATTACCAGTCTGTAGAAAATTTATCACAACTCACAAACAAGGGTTTAAATCAATCTGTATGGTACAATCCCATTTAATTGGATAGATTTTATCATATCCTATCCTTGCAAGCAAACAAGCATAAGAGTAATGGCATGATTGGTATGAGGGAATAACATGGGAATGAAATGTTCATTTCGTTACACATTCCTTATCCCATGATTGGTATATTTTTTGAAAAAGAATGACCATTCCAATGGGAATAGCAAAACCCATCTTCATGGGATTAGTCATTCCACACCAAATGCAAGGTTTTTCTCATTCCCATATGTGTAGGAATCAATTCCTTAAAAAATAAAATTAACAAATAATAATAATAAACAAATATATAATATATACTATAAATTATGATTAAATTACATTAAATAAACTAATTCCAAAAAATAAATTTCAAATAAAAAATTTAAAAACTTAATTTTATTTATTGTTCATATTTTAATTAGATATATTAAATACTTATACAACAACAACAACAACAACAGCAGCAACAACAAGCCGTTAAAATCTCACTACGTGGGGTCGGCTATATGGATCGCATGTCGCTGACTCGCCATCGTGCTCGATCAAAACACACATCCACATTCAAATTTAAATATTTAAAATCATTTTTTATTACTTCCTTCCAATTTTCTTGGTTTACCCTCCCACTTTTGATTTACGTTCTTAATTCTAATGTTTTTTTTATGTCTCTCCTACCCACATGCCCAAACCATCTTATATAAAAATAAAACAGAAAATGCACTTATAAATAATTTAAGAAGATATAATTTTATTTTTATAAATCGTATATATTATAAATTTATTCATAAATTAAATTATAATATAAAAAATTATATTCGACTACATATGCTTATAGGGGTTTATGTAATGCTATATTTGTATTAGCTAATATGTATATGAATACACAATTCACTAATTTATTATATAATATATATGAGTGTAAAAATACAAAAATATATTTATTAAAATATAGTATATTTTTTAAAAAAAATAATTTTATTATTATCATAAGTAAAAAAAGTAACATTAATATAAATATTAATTTTTTTTATATAAAATAGTGAGAGATGATAATATAGAATGATATTATCATTCCATTCAGGTCTTATTCCTCCTGCATACCACACACATCAATGGAAAAACTGGTTTCATTCCTTTCTCATATACATTTCATTCTTCAACTAATCATTCCTATCAAATTCCTTTCCATTATATCAATCATGTCATAAGTGTCTTAGTCAAATTAATCAGAAAAGGAAAGGAAGGGGAAAGAGAGAGAGAGAGAGTCATTAGTCATAACAGTCCAAACACGAGAGAGAGAGAGGCTTCTTCTCCAAGACGTATTTCTGTCTCAAACTCGTACATAGTCTTTGGGAAGCTCCCCAGTCCCCAGTATGAAACATTCGGGAAAATATCTTGTTCTGCCCGCTTTACTATTCCATGTGACTGATGTTTGAGTAACCAAAGGCAGTCACGGATTTTTTTTTTTCTTTTTTAATCCTAGAATGAACTAGAACCAACCTATTCATAGTATTGGGAACAATAATATCATATTGTATCACTTCTTGCACACACGTGAATGTCACATATTGGATTTATACCTATCGATTCTGTGATGATATACCAGTATAAGGAATAAAGCAAGCAGGACATACACAGAAGAGAAATACATAATATCTGGTGTCACATATACAAACTCTGGACTCACGAAGTAAAAGTGCATGGAAGACATTTAAAACAGCAGGGTGCAGTCACATAAAGTTTATACACAATATATGCAAAATTTCAATTACAATGTTGAAACAAAGGGTACCTTTCGTAAGAAGCGATTAGCGACCAACTCAATGCACAAGATCCTTGTGCTGATTCCATCCTATCAGATGCAGAAACATTATTTAAAAAAAAAAAAAAAAAAAAAAAAAAAATCTAGATTCTGCAGAATCATAGGGGAGAAAATAGAATGCTGAAGATTCAGTGTCAGTTGCCAACCTTAGCACCGTGTAAACGGGCCTCAGCAGCCCGTGCATGGAAGAGAAAGCACTCTGTCGGTGGACCACTGCAGTGGTGTGGGTAATAAAATTTTGAATAAAAAGTGAGCTGACTGAGAAAAATGATGAAAAGTGAATTTCGATTCATGCAAACCACATAGGCCTAGCTCACTTATTGTGAATAGATCTTAATTTTTTTGTACATGAGGCAGTCAGCATGACTGCTAAATACAGCACTTTATTTCCTTCTCCAACATAAGAAAGTCAAATAAAATAGAAACTTGGATTTAAAGACAAATTATATTTTTATGGACATCCAGGATACAGTCACTACATATTCTTTGTTTTTTCTCTTTTACTAACTAAAGCAACTGATGGTGGGGGTTTTGGCTAGGTCCCCAACCTGTACATTTATGATAGAGTATTGAAGAGTGTAACATGTTTCCAAAGTACAATTATGAAAGAGTATTGAAGAGTGTTACATGTTTCCAAAGTAAAATTATGAAAGAGTATGGAAGAGCGTTATTTGCTTCCGAAGTACATGTTAACACTTCAGATTCAAAAATTACAAGCACATCTTTATGTGACTTGGTGCCTAGCAACATGCACATTATGTTAGAATACACCCTAAAATAAAGAATTCTTTATTTCTGTCAGCTGAAACAACCAATGCATTACCAATAGCAACAGACAGAACATACAAGATAAAAACTTGAACAAGACATGACAAAAGCCTGAGTGCTATTGGTTCGGATTAGGACCAAATGACCTGAGTTTAAGCGTTTTGTCAGATACCACAAAAGGGATTAATTTTGAAAAACAGCTATGCATAAACTCTCTTACATGTTTCGTGCGGGCTTAGTATCACGTGCAAACATCCTAAATGAAAGTAATTTTCCTTCCAGTTGCTGTAATAGATGGTTAACACGGCTAACTTCAAAATTGAGTGGCTTGTTTCCTGATTGTTGTTCACTCTTTTCAAAATCGTCCATTTCGGATACACCATTATCCTCACAGAGGTGTTCACCAGATTTGCCATCTTGCCAACCATCACTATCAAAATCTTTTTTGCATTGACCGCTTCTATCATCCACATTCTCATCACTAATCGGGAATATATAGAAATAGCGTCTCCATGTTGCAGAGAAATTAGGATGAAATTCACGTGACACCTATAAAACATATCACAAACATCAGAAAGTTTATTATAGCATTTTGGAAAATCATGGGGTCATGTTACTTAGACTGCTCCATATGTATTACTATAGAACCCAGAAAGTAGTTTAATGATACCTGAGAAACAGAAACGGCCCTTATCTTTCCAGGCGCTGCATGATTTACAGCCTCCTCAATGTCCAGAGCTTTAATATCCGTTCTCCATGTATCTACAACACATATAGCTAGATATGTAATTTAACTTGTGGGGACAGGTTCACTAAAGGAAATTTGTAAAGAAGAATGAAGCAACACTGCCTTTTATTGAACTTATTGAACAGGTGTCCGGCATAGAGGTCAGTACTCTCAATCTACTGCAATTTAAGCAATTATCTTCATGGAACTAACGGGCATGTTACAAAAAAAAAATTAAAAAAAAATAAAAAATAAAAAAAATAAAAAAAATAAAAAACTAGGTGCTCTTCTCTTGTTTACTTCATCAGCTCAAACCCTTTTAGTAGAGAATACTCAGAGTACATAAAAGTCTCCATCAACCTAAATAAACAATTTATACAGTCTCATGGAAAGACAACTCGATATCTGAAAAGCATGGACCACATGAAGATGATTCACAAATATCAAAGCTTGCATTTGGTCCAAGAAATACGCCTAACAGAGGCATTACATGCTAGCACATATTCTGTATGACACTGTGAGTACACGAGATGAATAAAATAAACAGAAGCAAATTGAATCAGCTAACATACAGAAAGAACACACTTGTTTAAGCGCTGTCACCCCTTTGTCTGTCCGCCCAGCCACCACAGCACAAGCATCTAATGGTAATTTCTTTTCTTTTAACATCTGTGCTTTCTTTTCATCAACAAATTTCCCAAGAGATCGTTCAATCAATCTGCATAGAGCAAACATTGTAAGAAAAGATTCTTTCTTTCTTTTTTTTTTTTTTNATCTGCTTCTGCGTGAATATTGCACATGATGAAAAGTGTCCCTCAACCCAGTAGAGACTAATTCTACTCAAAATCTGAATCAAACTCCCCTCCCTCCCCCAATTCCTGTTGACCTTGCATGCAAGCAACCTCCAGACGCTCACCATTATTATTTACAAGTAAGCCTTGCATAAAAGTAGAGAAGTAGGAAAAGACAAGAAAATAATTCCAATTATCAGCATACTTTGGTGATGTATATGCCTTGTAGCATCACATGTTCCAGTACGAATAAGTGTAAAATCTCACTAAAGAGGAACCTATTTTCAAATAATTTCAAAAACTTCTAGAAGTGAATCTTGATACTTCTGTTTTGACAAGCAAGATCTAACTGTTGATCCCATTAGGAAGCAATTTCCATGTAATGCAGACGATAACGCATAGAAAACCACACAAACCAGAGTTGAACAATCTGAACCCAACTGAGTAAAAGCAATGCCATAGAATCCGTGACCTTTGAATTTTGTAACCTTACTCTTTCTAGTGAATACCTAAGAAAATCCAAAAGGGCAACTACAGATTGCAGTAACTGGGTGTCGTCATTGGCATGTGAGCTTTAGAAATGACAGTCATGAAACTGACGCACAGTAGTTATGTTAAAGAAAAAATGAACGCTTTAGCAGTTTGTACATCCATGGAAGGGCAGAGCATATTGAGAAAGCAACCAATCACAAAAGACACTGTCACCAGAATGATATGTACTAGAACAAGTACACTAAATATGACAACATATATAACAGGAATCTGAGAGGACACTTACCCTTGAACAGTATTCAGATTGGGCTGTTTCTGCCAACCATCAAAAGAGTTTCCATGATACGAGAGCACTATTCTGAATGTCACTCTTGCCCATCTACCAGTTCTACCCTGACCTGGAACTCTCACCAGTTCAAGTTTATCACAGTGTTTTACACCTTCAGCTCCATGCTGTGGGTCAAATGTCTGTACAATTAACTTTGATAAACAAAACTACATAGTATATCTAAACAAAAAATTGTCCTCGTGTATATAAAACTAGCAAAAAACGTTTTGTTCTCACCTCTTTCCCAAACAAATCAGAAACCGATCGGCAGCCATTCACCACATCCAAATAAAAATCATTCACTTTCTGCCACGGCCTTGAATACATAAACTGGTAACTTTCCCTGCAACAATGAATAACCTATCTCGTTACTAAGCTCTAGACATATGGTGCGCCTATTATTATTAATGATTTAAATTGACAGTCAGCTTTCTGTTAATGCAATACCAACAGCAACAGCAACAATAACCTGACTAGTAAATACAAAACCTTAATCGGACATATGTAGAAGACAAAACACAATGATTAGCGAATAAAAAACCAGAGGAAACGGATGTCGAGGAAAAGAACAGAAGAGGAGTTCTGCCGAAATTAAGGTACCTGGCAGTCCATCTAGAGAGGCTGCAAGCATCTGTGTGTTGGTAATGAACGTAATCCTTAGCAGGCGATGAAGCGCTATCCATCATATTTCTCAGCAGACCCAACACCGCCGCCGCTGGCTGCTTTATCATTTACTTCGACCTTCCCGCCGGCTTTATTTTGTTTAATCTCTTTTAGTTAACAGCTGCTGCTTGGTCTATTTGGGGGCTGACCCGGCCCGCCGACCTTGTCGGGCCCAGCGCATGGATCGCCAGGCAATTTAAAAAGAAAAAACAAAGGTGAAGTACAAATTTATACCTCGTGTTAAAAGTTTTTCAATTACCAACTTATGACTTTTTACAATTGTTAAATGTCAAACATAGCTCCTTCATTTATGGAATAAAATTTTCAGTTAGCTCCTCTTAAATTATAATGTAACAACATTATGCTATAAAAATATCCCACTGATAACCAAAAATGAAAGGGTGATTATTATAGATCATAAAATCTCTTTTCAACTACTAACTTTGGAATTTCATCTCTGTAGGAATCTGTTCAAAAATCATCGAAGCTTCTTCATCTATGGTGAGAATGATTCCCCAAAAAAATCTTGAAGTAACCTTTGATGATGTGTGGCCAAACGCACGTCCGTTCGGAGCAGGCCCAACGTCGGGCTTCTCTGGGCCATCTTAGACCGATGACCCTGATGCCTCATCCTAAAGGCTTAGAGAGTTCATCGGTGGCCCCAGTTGCCGTTTCTGGTTCAAGCAACCCGCAGGAGGTTTGCGTGGCTCAAACAGTTGTGGTTCTAGTGCAGGCACATCCAGATTCAGTCCAGATGCAGCCGGAGAGGATGATGGCCTAGGGGTTGGGGAACATCTAGGACCGAGGAAGAGCGAGGAGACCACCAGTTGGTCACGATGTCAAGGGTGGAATTAGAGAGGATCATAGCCAATGCCATCGCTGCTAGAGCAGCCTAGCGAGCCACCCACCAGACGTCCCAAGCAACCACCGCGCCGACCACGGTGGTGGGGACGAACCAACAGGAGACCGAAATGGATGAGTCATGTAGTCGAGGCACTGAAGCCCGCAGAGATCGAGCTGTGGAAATGATAGCGGAGCAGATCCGCGGGCTAAAATCGATGGAAAAGAACCAGGTCGAGCTCCAGGGCACCCTTTCTCCAGGGAGATTCTCGAGGCGGTTTTACCAATAAATTTTAGGGAGGTGAACTTGATGTACGATGGGTCGACTGGTCCATTATAGCACGTGAGGTCGTTCAAGAATATGGCAGTTTTGCATGGGTATTCTGATACAGTCTGTTGTCGAGCTTTCTTGGCTACTTTAAGAGGGGGAACTCAAGATTGGTTTCACCAGCTCCCCCCGGGTCAGTGAAGGATTTTGAGGAATTCTCGAGCTTGTTTTTTAACCAATACGCCAGCGCGATTGCATAGGAGATGTTGATGGTGATGCAACAAGAGGAGGGTGAGTCGCTGAAAAACTACGTGGCGAGGTATAATTGAGCGTGTGTGGAGATACCCTTGGCCTCAGACGAGGTCAAGGCTGGGGTTCTGATAAGGAATCTTCGAGTTAGCCCATGTCGATGCTCTCTGGCCAAGGCACCAACTCGAACCTATGACGAGGTGTTAAAGCAATGCAAGAAGTATGTCAATATAGATAAAACGGGGGAGGAGTTTGCAAAGCTCGAGCAGTTGGTCAATCTTGAGCCAAAGGAGAGGGTGCACTCGCCCAAGAAAGATAGGTCATAGCAACGCCAGGAACATAGATGGCAGGATCGACCTCTGAAGAATGGTCAGTGGTACAGAAAGTTTACACCGTTGAAAACCAGATGGCGAAGTTGTTGGAGGCGATAGAGCAGGGGATTGATGGTCAAGAGGTAACGTGGCCGCAGTCAAGAAGACATGGACTGACGCAACCGAAGTAAAATCGATATTCTAGGTTCCACCGTGATTATGGTCACACGATGGACAACTGTAGACATCTGAAGGATGAGATTAGAAGGTTGATTCGAGCTAGTCACCCATTACATGATGTTGGTGCTGCAGCACATTGGTCATAGAAGCCATAATGAAAAAGGGGGAAAGCCATTCATTCATTTTCTTACCAATCAAACTAATTCTTAATGCTTTCTTAATAGCCGTTCTAGATCTATTTTCAGTTACTAGTAGTGAGCCATCTTATTTGCCTTGATCCTCCTTTGATATGCTTCTTTCTCATGATTCGAGGCATCATCAGTGGGGACATCCAGACAGACATCAGTGGGCACGAATTTGTACCCTTCTGATGTCAGCACTATGTTTAAGTTCCTTCTCCAACAATGTAATTAGGACCAATAAGTTTGTTTTCTTTTAGAATGACAGGCAGTGGATTGAAAGACATGTTGAATATCGCCTGAGAATCATGAAAAAGTTTTACTGATTAAACAATTGAATTTAACTTGTTAATATTGATATCCACAAAACAATATTAACCTAAATTTACCGACATCTCAAAACACTGAGAGTTCATGCATGCCACTTTGGGTGACTCTATGTTTGCTCAACATTTGTAAGAGAAGAGTATTTCAAACCAACAATTCTATAGAGCCAGCGTATGGCTCCCTTATGGAGCCATCCATAACTTGATGCACTGCCACGTGTCTAAAGTGCATTTATTGTACGACACATGTCAACACACTATTTGTGAATATTGGTGAATGGTTCCATAAGTCGTGTCATCTAATGGCTCCATAGAAAAATCGGTTTCAAATACCCATCAACTTTTTCATGGCGAATAAAATTATTAGTCGATTTTATTTTGGCCACATAATAAAAGTCCATCAACTCTGTTGGGGAGGAGTTCTTTTATTACGTTCTTATTGAAAACCTTACCTAATCCTGAGGAGATTATTTTATGATTGTATGCCCTCCACTGGGGAGATCTACACACTCAAAAATAATTCATATGATTATCTTTTAAAATTTGTTCTAGTGATCTTACAATTAATTTTAACAATGTTCGCATGTGGCAATGTCCATGTCGCAATTAATTGCATCACCACAAGTCGGTAATGGAGGCCTTAGGAATATTTTAAAATTTACTTCTATTTTTAATATTCCTTCTAAACTTAGTAATTATCAGGGTTCTGAAAACCAGACAGGACCGGCCGGTTCGACCGGGAACCGGCAGATACACCGGTCCAGTTTGAGGTACGGAACCGCTGGAATTCAAAACAGGTTAAAAAGGGTAAAAAACCGATAAACCCGTCGAGCCGTTATGGGTTAGTGTGGCCCAGCGGCTCAGTAGCGAACTTTGGAAACAACAGATTGTACAACCATTTAAATAGCTGCAATGTGTGGTTTATGTCTCTGATGTGGGATGCTCACAACTTGTGGTCTTTTGCCTTTTCTAGATAACTGCGTGGGCCCAGATGCACACCTACGCATAATACGCGGCCGGCCACGATGTCACCGCCTGGTGCTCCCAGGTGGCATATGCGCACCTGCGCATAATACGTGGCCAGCCACGATGTCACCGCCTGGTCGTACCACCACTGCAGTACGAACACGTCGGGTAAGGCACGCCATGCTCGGGCACGCGTTGAGAATTAGCTCGCTGGCCTGGTCTCTGTCGTGTCGAGCGTGATGACCTGCTCGCGGGCTTGCCCTGTGCCCGAGCGCATCCACCAGTCGCTGGTGACCCTCAAACTACTTGGGCCTTGGGTCGCTGCGAGCCTCGTGCCTGGGCGACCTCGACTGCGAGCTATCAAGCGTCTGCACGCTCACGCCGTCCCGATGTTTGTTCACGGTCTCCGTGTCCGGTCGGGTTGTTGGGTCTCCTTGGGTTGTCTTGACCTCCCAGTTGATCCACACACAATCACAGTAAAAAATTAATAAAAACGAAAAATTACAATTTTTTATCCTAGACCCATGGGAGGTTACATGTTTGTCTAATAAAGCGAGTAAATCTATCTGGTATCCCACCAGACGAATAATTTATTACAAACATTCAACCATCCTCCTCGACATTCCCGAGGTTTAAAAAACCAAAACCATGCAATTAAAATAAATCGGATCACGTCAAGCAAATAAAAACACATATGCTATACTAGTGGATTATGCTGCTCCTGCAAAACCAAGTTATGCACATACATATATATAATCCAATTTATGGTTGCGCCTAAATAAACATAATTCACGTAAGCCTTAAAAATTTGAACTTCGCACAAAAACACATTAAACGTGGGCTCTGATACCACTTGTTAGGATATATAAAGATCATCGCTAATGTGCAAGTTACAAATTTAAACTACAAACTACCTATGCGCAGCAGAACTATAAGTAAAAATAGAAGACTCATGGTTTATTATTTTTGCCGACTCTGAGACGCTGTAGATTTCCTTTGGAGGAGATCAACTGATCACAATGTCCGTTAGGCAATTGAACGGGCCTTATCAGTTCGAACGGGCCGCGTGCGTGTGCTTCGGAAAAGCGTTCGGGTCACCAAGAAGCTGGTCGGGGCTGTCTCGTGCATCTTGGGTCGTTGCCATCGAGCAGGTCGCGAGGAAGTCATGGGTCTCGGCGTCGCAAGGCTGCAGCAGGTCATCTACAAGAACGAGGTGTTCGCGGGTCGCGTCGAGTCTCGTCATTAGGAACTGGAGCTGCGATCCAGCGTGCGTCGGGGCTGTGCGCGTGATTCATCGGGCAGGTCACGTGGGGTGTCGCCAGGGATGTCACGTAGTTGTGCTCGGCGTCACACTATGGTGATCGAGATGGCCTACGGTGGTCGAGTGCTCGGGATTTCTCGGGTGCTCGACTACCTAAGGATCTTTTATTGGATATCCCAACACCTATAGAATTCTCTTGGTGTGAAGGAGAATCTAGATATCTTTATGTGAGTAATGTCTTGCAAGACTAGAAAATAGGTGTATATATAGAATTCAATAGGGATCCTAAAGAGGCATTAAATTGGGCTTGCTATATTTGGGCCTAACTGTGGACTAAGCTTACTTAGCCCAAATATGAATAATACGGTCATAATATTAAAGTAGTATTATTGTATTCTCCCAGTTTAATTCTTAAATTACAATTTGAGCTCCACGTCTAAATTACTCAAATTACCTCCTCATGTTTAAAATATAATGTCCATCAATTTAGTTAATTATTGATAATTAAATTAATCGACTTCTTGAACTGAAACTAGCACCGTTCGATGTATTATTATTATGTCGGAATTTAATCCACCTGCAGGGTTTAACATAATAATCCTTCTTAACTCACTTTAGGGACATCATTAAATCTCAACTTTGTGAAGTACATGGTGACAATAAATATTATAATAGAACACCATGTCATTAAGGAATCAATACCCAAAAAAGACAGTTATTGGTCCATGTCAATAAACCTCACTTTGCTTATTCAAAGTAGTAACTACTACATACATGTGTATGATTGTAACTTACGGGTTAAGAAAACGCAGTAATTAGTCGAGGTCTAGTTCATTTATGCCGATTAGTATAAAATGAACTGCTCCTCTCTGGTATCCATTTAATACAGTAATGTGTACCAGTGTGACTAATCAGTCAAGACCGATTGTACCGTCCACACTACAACCGTTCCAATGGTTTGTTCAATTTTCATCTAGGTTGTGAACCAATTGTTTATGTTTTACAAGTAACTGAAAAATGATTTTTGTCCATCTGTGATGAACCATTTATCTAAATGCAAATCAATAGAACATCGAACTTTATTTAATCAAACATGAAATCTCGCACTTATACTTAAAGCTTATGTTTTTCTAGTATACATTTTTCAATCATTATTCTAAAAGACTCATGTCGATCCTAGCACAACACATCTGACTCTCATTCCTTCCACGTGTCTGGCGAAGACTTTCCCCGGCAGACTTTTCATGAAATGATCAACTAGTTTGTCCTCCAATGCAATCTTGGCAACCTTGATGTCTCCTCTCCCTATGATCTTTCGTATTAAGTGGTATTTGCGCTCTATGTTTTTACTGACCTTGTGGGCTCGTGGTTCCCTTGAGTTTTCTAATGCACCACTGTTATCACAATAAATTGTGATAGCCTGCGGTAAATTTGGAATCACTTCAAAGTCCACCAAAAAGTTTTTGAGCTCTACTGCCTCTTTAGCTACTTTAGAAACTACGACATACTCAACTTCCATGGTGGAGTCTGCCACACATTTCTGCTTGGCACTACTCCATGAAATGGCTTCTCCTCACAGTAAACACATAATCTAAAGTAGATTTACTTTCGTCCCAGTTTTTTTGAAAGTCCAAATCGGTGTAACCTAGCAACAGCAAGCTGACTGCATGGTAAACTAACATGTACTCCTTAATCCTTCTTAGGTACTTGAGTATATGTTCCACCGCAGACCACTGTCTCGGGCATGGATTACTTTGATATCTAGTCATGATGCCTACAACGTAGCTAATATCGGGCCTTATGCACAACATTGCATTCATGAGGCTTCCAACTGTAAAGGCATAAGAAACTGCCTTCATGTACTCTATCTCTTGAAATGTCGTAGGCGACATCCCCTTAGATAGAAGTACTTCATGTTGAAAAGGTAAAAACCCTCTATTGGAGTCCTGCATGTTGAAATTGGCAAAGATAGTATCTATATATTAAGATTAGGATAGGTACAACATTCTGTTCTTACGGTCTCGAACGACCCTAATACAAATAATGTGTCCTTCCTCACCCAAATTCTTCATATCAAACTGCTTAGACGACCATACCTTTACGTCAGACAATTCTCTCATGTCGTTCCGATTAGTAGTATATCGTCTACGTGCAACACAAAAAACACCACCAAGCTCCTATTGCGTTTCTTGTACGTACAGTGCTCATCCGGATATTGAGTGAACTCGTGCGACTGGATCATGAATTCATCGAATTGGATGTTCCAAGACCGAAAAGCTTGTTTCAGTCCATAGATAGACGGATTCAGTTTGCACACAAGATGCTCATGACCCTTTGCAATGAAACCCTCTGGTTTTTGAATATAAATGTCTTCGTGAAGCCTTCCATTAAGGAAAGTCATCTTAAAATTCATCTGTCAAATCTCATAATCTATATGAACGGCTACAACCAAGAAAATCTAAATGGTTGGCGAGAAGGTTTCCTCATAATCGATTCCCTCTTTCTGAGTATACCCTTTCGCAACAAGCCTAGCTTTGAAGGTTTGCACCTTCCTATCCGATCCCCTCTTTCTCTTGTAGACCCACTTACACTCAATAGGTCGTACCCCATCGGGTAGTTCTACAAGATCCTAGACCTGATTGGAGTCCATTGACTCCATCTCAGTATTCATTACATTTTGCCATCATATTGCATCCTTGCCCTGGGGTGCCTCATCAAACATCCAAGGGTTTGATTCTAGTTCACGTGAGATTAAGTCCGAAGACTCTTTAAGGAACGTAAATCGATCAGATTGCCTAACAACCCTACCACTGCAACAAAGTACTGTCTGCATAGGTACATGATCAATGTTGCGTGTTTGCAGTTGTGTGTGGTGTGTCTACTGGCGCACTTAGATTATTGAATTATCCCAATTTAATTCCAAAATTACGATTGAGCTCCATATATAAATTACTCGAATTACCTCCCCATGTTTAAGATATAATGTTCATGAGTTTATTTAATTATTGATAATTATTAATCGACTTCTTGGTCTGAAGATACATTATTATTATGTCAGAATTTAATCTACCTGAAAAATTTAATATAATAATTCTTCTTAACTCACTTCGGGGACATCATCAAACCACAACTTTGAAGTATACGGTGACCGTAAATATTAAACAGAGCACCATGTCATGTAGGAATCACTACCCAAAACAGACAGTTATTGGTCCATAACAATAAACCTCATTTTGTTCAATCAAAGTAGTAACTACTACATACATGTGTCTGTTTCTATCTTACGGGTTAGGAGAATGAAGTAATTAGCTGAGGCCTAGTTCGTTTATGTCGTTCAGTGTAAAACGATCTGCTTCTCTCTGGGATCCCCTCAATACATCAATGTGTATTGGTGTGACTAATCAGTCAAGACCGACTGTACCGTCCACACTACAATCGTTCCGATGACTTGTTCAATTTCCATCTAGGTTGTGAACTAATTATTTAAGTTTCACAAATATCCGATAAATGATCTCCTGCTCATCCATGATGAACCATTTATCTAAACGCAAAGTAATAGAACATAGAACTTTATTTAATCAGACATGAAATCTCATTCAACATAAATAGTGTGAATAACATATAAAGCCAAATATTCAGTATACACACTACCAGTGCGTTGGTAGATGATTTGTGTATTCAAAGAATCAAAATGTCTCACTGTGAAATATATGAAAATTAGTAACACAATGACAAACCAAATAAGAGAGAAAAACCTACAATAAATGAACCATACATATTATTGGTATCTAGTATTCAGTAGGAGTTAAGGGTGGATAGTCAATAGACATGTGTCTATTGGAAGTTGATTAAACTATCAAACTTACGGATTCTACTTAGTAGCTAATATGACAAAAATGGTCTTTTGAAGGACAAGAGGTATAGAATTGAAATAATAGTTAATTCCAATTTGTGTGGTCCAATGATTATTTGGACAAAAGGTGTTTCAAATATTTTGTCCTCTTAAATTATTCGAGATATAGAATATTTAAGTGACGTTCCATAAGCTTAAGTACTTCAAACGAGTATGAAGGCAGTTGTGGAGAAACATCGATGTTAATATATCAATGCCACTATGATGTATAGAAGCGTACGAGTGTGACGATATGAATGAGATCGCAATCTCAAGAACACTTTGCAATATCAATTCATATTTTCATTTAATAAAAAACCAAGAAAACTAAACTAGAGGGAGTCCTTTATATAAGCCCCTAACCCTAAATCTTAACATGTCCACCAAGCCAAAATCTTAACTTGTCCATCAAGCCAAGATAAATAATAATAATAATAATAATAATAATAATAATAATAATAATAATAATAATAGTCTACACCATTCTCCGCTGATTCAAAAGGCTTCGTCTTCGAATTCGACGCGCTCCCGTGGCTGGTGTTTGGAGGCGAACCCATGGTATGAATCCCCGTCGTTTCCCCCTGTCGAACACGAAGGTTGAACGACACTGTGATCTACCTTGGCTAGCCACAAAATTCTCGGCTGCTCGAATGGAACTTCTCCACTTCTCAACTTGAGTTACCCGGCCAACCCAAACAAATATTACGAAATCACAATCCAATAAATAGAATTTTCGTTTCCGAGACATGAGTTGGAAAGTTTACCATCCTGAACAGTGGCAACATCACACTTTCCGTCATGAAACTTCCCCAACATATATAACCGTGTATCAAACTCGTCTTCTGTAGGTTTCTTAAATCCATATGCAACACCACCTTCAAGGGTTATGAAACATGGTTTAAAAGAGGACAAAAATTTGTCAGACTCGTGCCCTTTTGGAATTCTCTATACTGCACAACAGGGCCACCAAAAATCGGATTGAGTTCAACGGTTTTGATAGCAGCAGATCCAGCTTCATCCTCCGGACCCGGAGGTTCCTCATCGAAAATCGGCGGACCATCGTACAATGGTCTGTCATCTTGCTCATCGTCAAATTCGGGAATGTCCACGCGAAATGGGCCCCACCCCCCATCGATGGTTACTGCCACGTCCACGTTGCTGGTCGTAACTGTGGGCCCCGCCAAGATCCCAGCCCACGCGATGCTGGTCGTGATTCCAGGAAGGTGCAAAACCATCGTCGGGTCGCCTGTGAATGGGGTGTCAAAACTCGTCCTCGCGATGGGAAGCACGGTTGAAACCCTCAGCGAACGGAATGTCGTGTCGCTGCCATCCAAAATTGGGGCTCCAATCGTGTCCCTGGACGTCATCTTCCTCAAAAACTGTGTCTTGGGTGCTGCACATTTAGGGCGTCGTGCGCAGCAATGGGCTCAGCCTCGACACACGGAGGTTGATAATCGCCAAAGGGGTTCACCTTCGAGATTTTCTCCTTGTCGTCTTTGTTGTTGGATGGTGGTTGTGAAGATCTACAGCGGGGAGCCCCGCACAGACCACGGCCTCCACGTCTGCTGCGATCTCCCCCTAGCACGCCCAGCTGCCGGTGTCACGGTACATTTGCTTGTCCCGATCCATGGTACGGATAGTTAAACGTATGTCCCCAATCTCCGCAGACAGATCTGCAATCCGACAACCCATCGTCTCGAGCCGGCGGCCAAACTACTCGGTCTGGCTGCTCAGGTTGTAGATGGCGGCGACACGCTTGTTGTTTACAGCATCTTGTCCTCGCGACTGCATCATGAATCGTGTTGACTTCTGTACCAACTGATGTAGGGAAGCATACAAGTGGGACGATATTAATGAGATCGCAATCTCAAGAACATCTCAAGATATCAGTTCATATTTTCATTCAATAAACAACCAAGGAAAATAAACTAGAGGGAATCCTTTATATAAGGCCCCTAACCCTAAACCTTAACCTGTCCACCGAGCCAAAACCTTAACTTGTCCACCAAGCCAAGATAAATAAAAACAATTAATAGTAATAATAATAATAATAATAATAATAATAATAATAATAATAATAATAATAATAATAATAGTCTACACCACACTACGATCTTATCGTGGTAACTAATACTTTTTGGAAAAATCTAGAAGTTCCTTATTAGATGCTGGGATCCGAATCTAACGAGTTGCACCAAGTTCACCCCAACAGGATGGTATAGCAGAATGAAAGAAAAGTTGTCTTATATAAAATGGTTGATTCAGTGATGAGTTATTAGAAAATTTCAGTTTTCGTTTTAGGGTTATGCAAATAGCAAGATAAGTTTAAAACATAGTTCCACTTAATCAATAGCTTCTACTTTGAGAGAATTATGGATAGGGTGTAGGCCCACTCTGGAACATATTCGGATTTGGGCTAGTTCAACATATATGTTGGAAAGGTGATACTGATAAGATTGGAAAGTTGTTTGGAAGTTTGGTTATTTGTGGGATACTCCACAGTAACAAAAGGCGCTTTGTTTTATAGTACTAAAAATCAAAAGGCGATTGTTGACGTGAATGTTTGATTTTTATAAAAATACTAAGTAGTAAATCACAAGCTCATTTTATAATTATCACTGAAAAAGATAAAGGTAAAATTTCAATTTCAGTACCACGTGTACAAAATGTTATATCACAATAAAAATGCAACATACACCAGCACCCACATGTACGTTTATGTATGATGTGATAGCTCATATCCCGGTGTGGGCAATAGCAATCGAAATTCGAATCTTAACCAAAGCTCATCTCATTTACTATTCATCGCCCCCCTATTACTACTTACCGCCCCCCTTGGACAATTTTGCCCCTGGCATTTTTTTTCCAAAAAGTAAAAAAAACAAATATTATTATTTTTATTATAATTATAATTATAATTATTATTAATAAGTGACAAATATTATTATTTTTAGTATAATTATTATTAATTATAATAAAAATAATAATTATATTTAATTACAATTATAATAATTGTAATTAATTATAATAATAAAAATAATTATAATTTCTTATAATTTTAATAATAATATTTGTTATAATAATTATAATAATAAATTGTTATAATAATTATAATAACAATTATAAATTATAATAATAATAATTATTAAAATAAAAATGAATTATAATATATTTTAATAGTTATTACAATAGTTATTACACCGGTCGGACCGGTCACGACCGGCCGTCGGGGCCGGACGCCATTTGGGCCGTCCGGTTTCGGCGGCCGGACATTTTTTTTTTTTTTTTACTTTTTGGAAAAAAAATGCCAGGGGCAAAATTGTCCAAGGGGGGCGGTAAGTAGTAATAGGGGGGGCGATGAATAGTAAATGAGATGAGCTTTGGTTAAGATTCGAATTTCGACTGCTATTGCCCACACCGGGATATGAGCTATCACATCATACATAAACGTACATGCGGGTGCTGGTGTATGTTGCATTTTTATTGTGATATAACATTTTGTACACGTGGTACTGAAATTGAAATTTTACCTTTATCTTTTTCAGTGATAATTATAAAATGAGCTTGTGATTTACTACTTAGTATTTTTATAAAAATCAAACATTCACGTCAACAATCGCCTTTTGATTTTAAGTACTATAAAACAAAGCGCCTTTTTTGTTACTGTGGAGTATCCCACAAATAACCAAACTTCCAAACAACTTTCCAATCTTATCAGTATCACCTTTCCAACATATATGTTGAACTAGCCCAAATCCGAATATGTTCCAGAATGGGCCTACACCCTATCCATAATTCTCTCAAAGTAGAAGCTATTGATTTAAGTGGAACTATGTTTTAAACTTATCTTGCTATTTGCATAACCCTAAAACGAAAACTGAAATTTTCTAATAACTCATCATTGAATCAACCATTTTACATAAGACAACTTTTCTTTCATTCTGCTATACCATCCTGTTGGGGTGAACTTGTTATAACTCGTTAGATTCGGATCCCAGCATCTAATAAGTAACTTCTAGATTTTTCCAAAAAGTATTAGTTTCCACGATAAGATCGTAGTGTTGGTGTAGACTATTATTAGGCCCCTAACCCTAAACCTTAACCTGTCCACCGAACCAAAACCTTAACTTGTCCACCAAGCCAAGATAAATAAAAACAATTAATAGTAATAACAATGCTAATCATAATCATAATAATCTTGAGATTGCGATCTCATTAATATCGTCCCACTCATATGCTTCCCTACATCAGTTGGTACAGAGTCAACACGATTCACGATGCAGTCGCGAGTACAAGATGCTGTAAACGACAAGCGTGTCGCCGCCATCTACAACCTGAGCAGCCAGACCGAGTAGTTTGGCCGCCGGCTCGAGACGATGGGTTGTCGGATTGCAGATCTGTCTGCGGAGATTGGGGACATACGTCTAACTATCCGTACCATGGATCGGGACAAGCAAATGTACCGTGACACCGGCAGCTGGGCATGCTAGGGGGAGATCGCAGCGGACATGAAGGCCGTGGTCTGTGCGGGGCTCCCCGCCATAGATCTTCACAACCACCATCCAACAACAAAGACGACGAGGAGACAATCTCGAAGGTGAACCCCTTTGGCGATTATCAACCTCCGTGTGTCGAGGCTGAGCCTATTGCTGCGCACGACGCCCAAAATGTGCAGCACCCAAGACACAGCTTTTGAGGAAGATGACGTCCAGGGACACGATTGGAGCCCGAATTTTGGATGGCAGCGACACGGCATTCCGTTCGCTGAGGGTTTCAACCGTGCTTCCCATCGCGAGGACGAGTTTTGACACCCCATTCACAGGCGGCCCGACGATGGTTTTGCATCTTCCTGGAATCACGACCAGCATCGCGTGGGCTGGGATCTTGGCGGGGCCCACAGTTACGACCAGCAACGTGGACGTGGCAGTAACCATCGATGGGGGTGGGACCCATTTCGCGTGGACATTCCAGAATTTGACGATGAGCAAGATGACAGACCATTGTACGATGGTCCGCCGATTTTCGATGAGGAACCTCCGGGTCCGGAGGATGAAGCTGGATCTGCTGCTATCAAAACCGTTGAACTCAATCCGATTTTTGGTGGCCCTGTTGTGCAGTATAGAGAATTCCAAAAGGGCACGAGTCTGACAAATTTTTGTCCTCTTTTAAACCATGTTTCATAACCCTTGAAGGTGGTGTTGCATATGGATTTAAGAAACCTACAGAAGACGAGTTTGATACACGGTTATATATGTTGGGGAAGTTTCATGACGAAAAGTGTGATGTTGCCACCGTTCAGGATGGTAAACTTTCCAACTCATGTCTCGGAAACAAAAATTCTATTTATTGGATTGTGACTCCGTAATATTTGTTTGGGTTGGCTGGGTAACTCAAGTTGAGAAGTGGAGAAGTTCCATTCGAGCAGTCGAGAACTTTGTGGCTAGCCAAGGTAGATCACAGTGTCGTTCAACCTTCGTGTTCGACAGGGGGAAACGACGGGGATTCATACCATGGGTTCGCCTCCAAACACCAGCCACGGGAGCGCGTCGAATTCGAAGACGAAGCCTTTTAAATCAGCGGAGAATGGTGTAGACTATTATTATTATTATTATTATTATTATTATTATTATTATTATTATTATTATTATTATTAATTGTTTTTATTTATCTTGCCTTGATGGACAAGTTAAGATTTTGGCTTGGTGGACATGTTAAGATTTACGGTTAGGGGCTTATATAAAGGACTCCCTCTAGTTTAGTTTTCTTGGTTTTTTATTAAATGAAAATATGAATTGATATTGTAAAGTGTTCTTGAGATTGCGATCTCATTCATATCGTCACACTCGTACGCTTCTATACATCATAGTGGCATTGATATATTAACATCGATGTTTCTCCACAACTGCCCTCATACTCGTTTGAAGTACTTAAGCTTATGGAACGTCACTTAAATATTCCATATCTCGAATAATTTAAGAGGACAAAATATTTGAAACACCTTTTGTCCGAATAATCATTGGACTCCATGTAAATTTGGACTAATAAAATTATAAAAATATTTGGAAAACTTATATTATACATATGTTTTAAAATTTAAAAAGTTTATTAGTTTTTCTCAATTTTTCATATATGACATATCAAATTAATCATATATCATCGATCTTTAGTTCGACATCTATATAACATTATTAAAAAAAAATTATATAAGTTAGAAAAAAATATTATATATAAAAAAGTTATTTATAAAAAAATATTTAATTATATATGAAAATTAAAAAATATATACCCTAATCATTATTTGATAAAATTTATTTATCAAGACTATTATATTATAAGGTAGACAAAGATATTAAACTATAAGACGAGAGCATCCACAATGCTTTGAACTTATTCACAAAAATATACATGCCACATAAGAAATAGATCTAGTCAAGAAAAATATGTACTTCAATTCAAGTGCAAATAGACCGGATCCTGCTTATGTGGCAACAAGAGAAAGAGATCCGATCTAACCTTAAGTCTATCTTCGACCCAAGTAGAGACCTAATCTCTTTGCTTTGGAGTTAAATTTGTTACTTTTATATTTTTTTGTCTATGTCATTCAAGACTTAGATCTATTTACATGCCACGTAAGCAAAATTAAACCCAACCCCCGAAAAAAAAAATAAAAAAAATTAATTAACGGGTTTTCTTATGCTGATAGTATAAATTATTGGAGAATGCTACCATCCCGTTACGGGATGATTCCGTTGTGTTTTCTAGCTATAGATATACATGTAATCTAGTGATGGGTAGTTAATCTAACGGTTAAAAACACAACGGAACCATCCCGTAACGAGATGGTAGCATTCCTCTAAATTTTTAAACTACGAGTAATATAGATCGAGATTTAGAAAATTAAATAAATAAATAAAATAATAGGTATTCGATTATTTCCCGTCTATAAGATACTGATTTCAACGTTCCCTTGATGTCAAAGTATTACAAAACTACTATGACTTATAAACAACAGACCAATCACGTGTACATAAACGTTTATTGCATGAAATCACATTCTGCTACCTTAGCTCTGGAAAGTGATTGCGAACAAATCAATTCTGTGGTGATGGTTCAGGTGGTCCTCTAGCAATTGGCATGCCTCCACTCGAACCCGATCTTGGCTTTGCATAGTCCACGAAAATAACACGCCCATTAAGTGGCTAAAAGCAAGCAACACGCGTGTTAAATTTTAAGTCGCATAACTCAATAAAGAGAAAATTAAAGAATGGAAAAAAAGGATAAAACCTTTCCGCTCATCTCAGCAATTGCTTTCTCAGCTTCATCTTCAGACGCGTAAGTGACAAACCCGAAGCCCTTTGATCTGTCAGTCACCCTATCCATCACAATTGACGCTGCCACAATAAAAAACATTCAAGGTCAAGCATGATTAAATTGACTCAAAAATGATAAGGGACTTAAAGATACTAAAAGAA